TTGAACTATTGGATATAATAACTGTTATTTTAATTTATTATTATTGTTATTTGAATTAACCTTTAGTAAGATAATATGCACGAATTTTTTTTTTTTTTCTCTTTGTTTAATTTTAATTTAACGTGAGAATTGTGTTCATAATTCTCCGTACATTCCCACAATTGCGGTATCACTCAATCATACGTTTTAACGCATATATTATATTCTCCCACGTAAAAAGTATGTCTTTAAGGATTAAAGGAACAATAGTTGAAATTGAGGATGATATCGAGATTTTAAAAAAGAATGTTTGGATAACGAAGGTGAGAATGTACCGATAAAAAGGGAATCCGCCGAAAGAACGATATAAATCACGTATTGAATTTGTAAGAAGGAACAATGGGAGATAGAATTGTGGAAAGAAAGAATTAAAAATTTACATGGTTAAATAAACAAAGTGGAAATCAATAATTTTGTTGGAATTATGTAATTGCAACGCCATTAAAAGTCACCAAATTCACCGAGGCTCAAAAAATTAGCCCAAAGAAAATTTAGTAATATAAAGAGACATTATAAAAAAAAAAAAATATATATCATTGGTTGGTTGTTGCATGGGAAGCAAAGTTTATTTAAAAAAAAAAATTAAATTCATGCATCACGGACGAAAAAAAAAATAAATAAAGGAATTATCTCGAGGAATTATTTCTGTCGTTTCTGTCTTTTCTGCGGTGATTGATATACGGCCAATCAAATCAATTAGCATTACACGTTTTATTACTTTCATAAAAGTTGTAAAGATCAACGATTCTAGCATACTTAAATATCTGTTTATCTTAAGTTTCCTTAATTAGTACATCATTGTTGAAAATAAATTTGAAAAGCTAATCTTATTTTGGAATGCCCCACTCTTGGGGGTGGGTAAAAAAAAAAAATGGCTGTGAACCTCTCCAATTTCTATTTATGAGAGATTTGTCCTTTACAATACATTTCCATATCTAATTAAAATAATTAAGTGGATCATATTTAATTTCATTTTGGTCATTAAATACAGTGACCGGGGCATGTGTCGAGAAACCATAAATTTTCGTTTAGAATAATTGAATCATATTTAATCATTTTTACTTTTTTTTGGTCTGGGGAACATACGAGAATTCTTCGGTAATCTGGGAATTGTTTGTGGAAGATCAAATGATCCAAATGTTGTACACAGCTTTAATAAACAACTTTTAACAATTACAAATTGTGGAATTTGATCATTATAATAATATGATTATTCACATTCACAACAGCTTTTCGTTTCTGCGAATAGTATTTTCATCGAAATTAGCTAAAGTGGGTAAACAATAGCTGATAAACTTGAATCTTGTTGCTAATTTTTTTTTTTTTAAAAAAAATAAAATAATAGTATTATTCTTCATAGTGAAGATGAATGACCTCAACTGAGAATTTTTTTTTTTTTTTTTTTTTGTTGGGGGAGTACGTTTTCAAAGGTTAATGAGTTGCAAAGAGGGAAAGAAAAAAGAATATCATTGAACATGAACCATTTTAATTTTGTTCTTGAAAGAAGGTCATCCAAAAGCAAGTTTTTTTTTTTTTTTTTTTTTTTTTTTTTTTTTTTCAGGTGAAAGTTGCATTAAATCGATCGGAAGTAGGTGAAAAGTAGAAAAATTAAAAAATGAACATCTTTTACTTTTAAAAGAAGTAAGGACATGGGGAAATCAAAATAAAAATTTTTTTTCCGGTTGAAATATAATGTGTCAATTATGAGATCGACTTGGATTCTTTCCTATTTGCTTTTATAGCAGATGTGTCCACATCTTGAATGCATATTCGATGAGTCGGGGACGATGGCTTTTGTCTAAAGGATTCTTGTGATGTCCACTCAAATTTGTCTATTTTTGCACACGGTTTGAGCGGACATTATCACGTCAAGCTGTCGTTTTTCGTCGTTGGTCAATCTGGTTTCATCTAATCTTATCTTATTACCAGATTGATATGATTTAGAAGAGGCTTTTTTTTTTTTTCATTAAATACATTTAATTAATATTTACGCCATCACATATATTATTAATATATACATCACATATGGTGTACCATTTTACAATTTTCTCTACATTAGAAATTACTTGAAATATACTAGTGACCTTTTTCCCCATCTTAAATTATTTATTTTTAGATAAAAAGTTTGACAGGTTAATAATGAATCATCTAATCTTATCTCTGTTGATGGAACGTTTTTTTTTATCTTATATTAAATGTTTCGGATTATTTGGATACGCAAAATTATTTATGAGACCATACATATATATCATTGACTTCTACGAATAAAAAATTTCTCTCTATTAGTATTCACTCGTAATTTCTGGATCCAGTGAAGGGAAAGAAAAAAAAAATTTAAAATAAAGACTCCTATCAAAATCTTGTTTTGCCAAAGCACAATATATCAGTCGTACCACCAGATACGCGTCATGTATAAACTTTAGGGGGACATACTGTAAAAGCCGATGACAAAAGAATTTTTTTTTTTTATCTTTTTTTCCTCTTTTTATTATGAAATCAGTGATTGTTTATTATTTTTTAAATTTCATTAACGCCAATTGACCGGATTGCGTTAGCATTCGCTCCCCCCGCAATTCGCCTTCCCTTTTCCTTCGAGTTTCTAAACTTTGCGATCGACCAAATAAATCTTAGGTTGGTACATGACATAATTATTGTTCTGAAACTTCCAAATCTAGATAATAATAGACTGGAGGTATACAAATAGGGTACGACAAAAGAAAGTCCTCCTCAATTTTTTTTTCACAAATATTTACTAAATATCGGAAGCGGAATGAATTCTTGATATGTCAAATACACAACAGATATGTTGATATATTTATGTCTACAACAGATGAATGGTCATCTCGCCGCAGCGTCTGGTGAAAGCCGCGTCAAAAAATTGTTCTTTTTTGTTTCATATTGTGTAAAATTTCTTGGCGTTTTTTTTACGTGATATTACATTAAATGACAGATTACCTTGCGCTATGGTCAAGTTCCAAAAAAATTGCTAAAATTTCTTAGGTAAGGTCAAAAATCCTTACGCATTTAGAGAAATGGCGTGAAAGGGTTTCAAGGAAGGACTTGTTAATTACAAATTTTCTCATTTTTGTTTACATTACTTATTAAAAATAATAAATATTTCAGTTGTATTTCTTTAATTTAAGGAATTATTCTGAGAATGAGGCGGATTGAGGAAAAAACGGGATTTGAAACTGGTGAATCATATGGATCAGCCAATGGAGCGCGTGAGAAATAAGTATCCCCCGCGAACCCGAGTACCTAAAATAGAAACTTATCTAACAAAAGCAATAATATGTGTACTCGTTACCATTATGATATTATTTTATATATAAAAAAAAAAAAAAAAAATATTATCTTACATTTCATAATTGATAACCAAATTATAAACTATAAAAATAAAATAGTCAAATAACAAATAAAATTAAACAGATAAATAAAAAAAAAAAAAATCTGATAATTATTTATGTGTGATAAAGTAGTCTTATTTTAATTTTATTACGTTAACCTTTTTTATATACTATATGCATCCTCAATAACTTTACTTTCTATTTATTTCATACTGCAGACACTTGAATAGTAACACTAGTTTTTTTTTTTTTTTCCTTTCCTATCTGATGATACTTTCCCTTTTCATTACGAATTACACCAAGATCTTTTTTGGCGTTAGACTATTGATTTTTTAGATTTTTTTTTTTTTTTTTTTTGATGAATATATGATCCCTCGCTTCATCTCCTACTCATTCTTCTTTTCTCTTGCTTTTTCTGCGGCCTCTTCTTCTTGTTATTTTCATGTTAATACACCCTTTAATTTATATTATAATTAATAATATTAATAATTAATTTTTTCACCGAAAACCTCTCATCCCAATTCTCTTATAAGAGGCACAAAAACTATACCTTTTACAAATAAAGGCCAAATATTCTTTTTTTCACATCAACACACAAACTTACCTTCTATTTTTTCACGAAAACTTCTATATATTGCATCGCAATTTCCGAAAAATCCTCAATTATACCCTCGATTTCTACCTTTTTGGCCATTTACGACTTTTGATCAAATTTTTTCTAACTAGATATATTTAATCAAAAGAAACAAAAACCATTATAAAGATGGAACATTCCCTTTTAACAGCAGTATTTCAACAGCTTTCCCTCAATCAACGACCAGGTAAGAAACAATAAAATTATTTCTCACCTTTCCTTATTATTTTCTTTGTCCCTTTTCTTTTTTCATAAATACCCGCTTATCTTTTTTGAATAATTATAGTGTTGTGCATAATTAATTCATTTGTATTATTAGATAATGTTTAATAGATTTCTTATCTTTTGTTATCTCTTATCTTTGTTACGCCTAATTCTCGATTTGTTCAATTGTTTGTTTACCTCTCCACCTTTAAACATTCCAATTATGGTAATATATGGCAACATTTCATTTAACTTTGCTCTCATTTTTTTTTCCCTCCTCACTTATCATCATAGACTATATGATACCACTCCTTATTCCTGCTTCTACAGAATATGACATCGATATGCTCCACGAGTGCCAAGAATACAATTCTTCTCATGATTCTCCCGCCAACAAAGAAGCAGTTTCAACTGAAGGGGAGGACGATGACCTAGATTATGAGGATGCCACGAACGAATTATATGTCACCCCATCAAATTTTGAGACGACCGTCAACGATCCTTATATTTCAGCCTTCATAGAAGAACTTTTACAAGATGAAATTGATGGTTTCGTCGCCAGTTTCCAGAAAATTTGTTATTTTAATGGCGCGGATGCGTATGCGGTAAATATTCAAAATCACTTTTATATATATATATTTCTTTCGTTCACAAAATTTATTAATCTTTGTTGTGGCGCAGTACCCATGAATATATATATATATATAATTTTTTTTTTTTATATTTATTTTCTCCCTTAGTAACAATTTTTTTTCTTCTTTTTTTAAAATCTTCGTGAATTCTTAGGTACCGCATCGCGGAAACCATATTCAACCAGCCTCAGTAAACATAGCTCACATTGTGGAATGGTGGCTAACAGAGAAATTGTCGCATACTGGCGAAACAATTCCCATTTTGGAGGAGTCTCCCCAGACTTCCGCTGAAAGCATAATGTTCAAGTTAAGAGAGGGTAAGTTGAAATTTACGTTTTATATTAAATTTCTCAAATTTATTATTAGCATATAGTTCGCGCGTGAGCCCTCATGCGTAATATTTCCTATTTTTTTTTTTTTTCTTCTTCTTCTTCAGAAATTCATTCAATATATGTCCAAGACATTTAGATAGATATTGAATTAAATTTAAGTTCTTTTTTTTTTTTTTTTTGTCTTATAAAAAAAAAATTTTTTTCGATAATGAATACTTTTCTCAATTCAATTCTTGTATTTTTCCATTAGTTGCTTCCGTGTTAAACGGCATGGCCAAAGTTCTTATAAATATTCGAGCTGGTCATGTTTATTCATTACACATGATTGGGGACGAGATTGTAATGGCACCAAACTATGAACGATTCTTTCAACAGGTTAGATATTAATATTTATTTATTTAATATTTATTTTCATTTTTTTTGTTTGTGTTTAGATATTCGATAAATTACAAGATTTAAAGTACGCGTTTTGCAAAAAAAATATATAAGATGATCGAGATTTTTTTTTTTTTGAAAAGGAAACGAAAATCATAATTATAATCGTGGATTCTTACCAATTTATTTTTTTTTTTTACCTCGGTAATCTTGTTTTGATTTAAAAAGTTCCCGTTATTCGTAAACGTATCAATCAAAGTACAAGAGCATTTGCCATCAGCACGGCACAACCCATGCCAAGTCCTTGTTGCTGTCGAACATGTGACCATGAAAGATCAAACGGCTATTGAAAATCGGGTACCATGCAAATTTTCGCAACATTATCATCAATCATTCGAGGAATCGTTCACGACCACACGAACAAATTCTTCACCTGACGGACAGACATTTTGTTTGTTGGAGGAAGTGGCAACAAACCTAAATGAGATGTGGTAGACGAGATCGTTGTAATTACTTGAGCTGAAACACAGAATTTTCTTGTTAGCATATGTAGTAAATAATATTAATGATCATTACAACTTTCAAAATTATTTAATTCTTTCTCCCCCCTCTACAACCTTTTATATCATTCTATATGATAAACAATTTCTTTCCTTTTTTTTTTACCTTTTCTTAAAAAAAGATTCGTTACTTTATTTTTTTTTATTTTATTTTCATTTATACGAGGAGCGGATTCCATTAATATTGTTTGAATCGAATGCCACTACGAATGGCTTTCCAAAAAAATTTCGTAAAGCGATAATCGAATTAGCTTTTTTTTTTAATTTTATTTATAATCCTCATATATTGAGATGAGAATTAATTTATTATAACAAACAGGGTAGGTCTTACGTATATATATAATTAAGGATTTTTTTTTTTTTCATACAAGAAAAAAAAAGAAAAGAAAGAACCGAAAAAAAAAAATCAAAAACAAAAAAAAAAACACCCCGATAATCGAAAAACAAAAAAACAGAAAGGAAGGAGGAACCAAAAAGAAGGAAAACAAAAAAAAAAAAATAGTCAGATAGGAGATGATCGAAAACCATAAAGAGGCATTAAGGAAGAAAGAATATTATTCATTCTTCTTGCCTCGAGTTGTGATGTTTAAAACTTAAGGTCTTTTGGGTTGGCGAATTCCATTTCTTTTTTTTTTTTTATGATTAATTTATATAAGGGTGGTGCTGGTATTATCATGTTATATGTATTTTTTTATGTATCCTATGTATTTATGTATTCTATATGTACCTAAGTAAAAAATAAGTTCAACCAACCATATTAACCGGTATTATCAAAATTTTTTGTTTTGCATTTGTCATCTCAGTATCTCAGTATCTCAGTATCCGATAAGGAAAAACCAGATTTCGTACGATCCTATACAATACACAAATGCACATGTGATAAATCCACACACACGAAATTTAACGTAAAAGCGAGATACACAGATACATGATAACACGAGATCTGCTAATTTATGATCAAAGAATATATGATATTGGTTATTTTGAATTGCTGAATCACTCCAAAAAAAAGTTTCGTGCTTCCAAAAGTTGATTGTTTTGTTAAATGTCACGCGAAATCCATTGTTCACTAATTTAGTTATCCTTCACCTGCTTTACCAGCATCCGGGAAAATGGTTAAGAAATTAAAATTGGTCATAATTTCATATGTACATTTTTTTTTAATTTATTAAAAAAAAAAAAAAAAAATTTAATAATTAAAAATTAAAAACGGAGATATGATGATAAGTGTCGCGTGATATTATTTGATGTGTTACACGTTGCAGATTTCGATTCAAACTGGGGTAAATCTACGATAATAATTTACATTACATGAATAAAATATGTCACACGCACATGATTTACATATTACATGTTGAAAGCTTGGAAAAAAAAAATTTTTTTTTTGCTAATCTGCGACGAACCGAACGAAGGAGTTTATTCATTTCATATGCATTCAATCTTTTGTGATCTAATATAGGAACCTATACTAAGTCCCATTATCGTAAGGGATTAAATCGATCGTTTAACTAATTGTTAATGACGAGGGATCGGACATCATGGGACAAAGTTGTAGTTGCGCAGAAAAAATTTTTTTTCTTTTTCGGGTATTAAATTTAATTAATAATTGTAATTTCCACGATATTTTGAAAGTGTGTGTAAACACATCTAGCTGAATCTCGGTTAAAATCAAGTTGATGAGAACCTACGTTTTTATTTTTACTGTACACACCTCACATTAATAATATTCATAAGAGAATATTCATGTATGGCATATCAATCAGAATATTTAAATCCGAAATCATCCGAAAACATTTGTAGATCGAAAAATTAGCAACTTAGTTTCGGTCGAAACATTATATCATGTATTCACGTTCCATCTTAGTCAGTCCGAATGTGATTTATTAATAAAGATCAAGCTTACTAGATTTATCAAATGAAATTATATCTAATTGAACGTACCATATTTAGTCTGGTGTTTTATTTTTGTTGATGCATCGAGATTTGTTTGGCATGTAAAGATTTGATCGGTTTCGTTTTGCTTTGTGATCCTATTTGATTCAACAAAAATGATTTATGATAAATCATTTTTAAAACCTTTTTTTTCAAAGAAAAAAAAAGTACAATTTTACTACAATATTTGTAATAATCTATCAGACTTAGATATTTATCCTTTGTTTTTTTTAAAAAATTATAATTTAATTGATTTAATTTTAAACATAAGATTATGCTTTAATAAAATACATCATTTTAGCTAAGGATAATTTATTATAATCAACAAAAGTATGTAATAATCCCTATATTATTCTTTATTTATATATTTATTTTTCTAAATAACAACTATCCTTTAAGATTTTTCTTTAGAATAAAAAATAATTCTTTTGATTATCTACTTTTTAAAACATATTTAGTTCTAAATAATTTTGATCTATTTTAATTTAATAGCTTAAATTTTTTATTAGTTTTATACTTAATATTCTATATCAAAAAATCTTTAAAATATTAGTTTATAAAAGAAGTTTTATAAATAAGTATCCCTTAAACTGTAGATCAGGCAAATTTGCTTGCAAACCTAAAAAAAAATATTAATTTTTTAATAAATATAAAATATTAATTTTAATAATATAATCATTATATAAAAAATATAGTTTAGTATAAATTTTATAAAATAATTTAAATTTATCAAGAAGTTTTTTTTAAATAATTCAATTTTAAAATTAAGTTTTAAAATATTTATTATAATTATTTTTTAAAAATTTTCTTAAATTCATATATTTGCAAACTTATTGAATCACTTTACTACTAATAAAGTTATAAATTTCTTAGTAAATTATAAAAAGTGTAATAATTAAAGTTATTTTTCATAATAAATTTTAT